AAGAAAGTCAGCAGAAAGCGTGTAAGAGCACGAAGACTGATTTCGGCTGCAAAGGGACAAGCGAAAGATGCATGCAGGACAAATCGGCCGTCAGATACGATTGGCGGCGAGAGAAAAAAGCGGAGAGCACTCTCAAAAGAGTGCACTCATACATCGTCCTTCTCCTCCTCTTTCTCGGTCCACGTAACTAACGGCAGGCAATTAAAACTCGGCCTGCCGCAAGCGTTTAAGCGTCGACATTTCCGTTCACACGTGCGTAACGAGTCGAGCGGGACGCGCATCGACGCCTCCACCGCGCAAAAAGACATCGACGACGACGCCGACCGCGTCGCGTCGCTCCGCTTCGCGAAGCGAGCAGCGAGGCGAGATTTAAGGCCGTCTGAGCATTCACGGTCGGAACTCTCGTGTTCTGTGCTCTGTGCGACCAGCAGTCACGCACATGGCGGACTCGTTGAACTCGGTGGGTTGAACATTTTTCTTCATTCATGATATATGACACTCGCACAATGTAGCGAGGATATTTTATTTTATCGCTACCGAATATGACGGAAATTGCACTCGGATTTAACGCGATCCCGAAACTTTGGAAAGTCACAATGCGAAGAGATTACTTAAAAGTTCTCGCTAGAAATAAAACTGTTACATTTTAATTTTCGGTTTTTGTGAAAAAAGAAATCGCGATTACACATAATGCAAGTGAAATTGAAATTTCCTTCAATTAAAAACGATCGTCAGTTCCTTGGAATTTCCTGTAAGAGTTGTTCATGTACATATATTTTAAAGCAACGTGTGAATATAACGGTTATTCTTCATCAGAGAATTGAATAAAGTTACTCTTTATTTTCTTTAGCGCCGATCTGGCGCATGCTTCGCATTTTCAACATGGTCTGCTCCAATTTGTCAGTGACTACTTGTAGGATGAAATTTGTCTGGCCGATTGCCACTCCTTGTACACTGCAGCAGAATTTATAGTCATTGGTTCTTCCCCGGGTACGACGTGTCAAAGTACGACTAGAATCAACTTGCTCCAATATATCCATATTACGTAAAAATATAAAAAAATAATATTGAATTGTAATTATATTGAAAGTTCTTACAATTAGAATTCTCCGAAATCTCATCCGTGACATTTATCTATTTTATTTTGTCGTGATCAGTTCTCAGAAAGATCTTGTCAAATTTGTTATTTCAAATGAGAAACTTTTCTCCAGAAACTTAACAGAGGAAGTCAACTGCCGAAGCAAACCGCGTTTAAATACCTTTCATCACCGAAGAGCAATATCTCTACCTTTCTTCCTATGCCTTTGTGCCTCTTCTCTCTAATTTTACAAGGCGTTAAGTGTCACTTTGTACTCGATTCTTCAGCTCTGCCGATACTTATTTCCGCCTTTCTGTCGCGCAAATAAGTACAAGCGTTTGCTATAAACTTCTCTGAAGGCAGCTCGTAAAACTACATCCGTTGTGTCAAACTCATAAAAGAGAATTAATAACAAGAAACTATTATTAGTTTATCATCAAAAATTGTTATAGACTTATAACAATTTTTCTCTAGAGTATAATTTCTCTCTAGAGCTTAATTAGAGAAATTGCAATGTTAATATTAATAATAATGATAACAAAGTGTAATAATTAATGCAATACATTTAACCATATCATGTATCATATATGATCAGTATTTAAAGTAAAAAATAAATTGTACAGCTAATGACAAAAATGTAGATTGAATCAAAGAATACAAAAATATTTGTTTATCTTTTATTTGTTTACTGAAATTTTGCTGGATATAGAATATAATTTTGTTAATCAAAACTCTTATCTACAATGTAATACCAGGATAGCAATATAGTTAGAAATATATCAAATCTGACAATACTCTATATGATCATTTATTATAATGCATAAATGCTAGAATAAATATAATTCATAATTAGATTTAAAGATATTTTCCATTAAATTGGAATACACTTCCTGACTAGAATCCTATATAACATTGTACTAATTAGTAATAATAATAAAACAAACATTGATTATGCGTACAATCAAGATACACAGCATAAAGATGTTAAATATGTATTATAGATTGAAGCATTGGTATAGTGTTTGCACGGAGCAAGCGATGTATATTGTGTAATTTTGAGATCTAATTAAAGTGACGGCATGCTAACGAGTATCGAAATAGTATCGTTACTGTAGTGATGCATCGATTAGCCGGTTCGGAGCCATCTACGATGTAAAACGATGCGTGGGCGTAATCCATGCTAAAATTCAACGTGCACGAGACGCGCGTGAAATAACGTGTAACGTTTCTAATGACGTTGGCGTATATTAATTTATAATTTAGTAACTAAATTTTCTTAGAAAATTAGTTTTTGCGCTACAATCCATTTTTATATCAAAATATAATCAAAGAAAATATAATTGTAAAAAAGAAATCAAATTAGTATTAACAGAATTATTAATATTATAACAGAATTAAATTATTTTATATAGAAATGCTAATATGTACTAAAAATTCATTATCTAAACTGTTCTCTGAATGATACAATATTTTTTTTTAATGTAAAGGATACCTTATTTTTGTTGAAATAATTAATTCTGGAAAATAAAACTCTTAAAACGGTTTTCTTCTATAATATAATATTAAGGCACAACAGAAGAAATCAATAATTACGCAGCCAAAAAAGTATGGCAATTAGGTGACGAGATAATTAGTTGACAAATGACAAACAACATACTAAGAATAAGTACGTGTCAATATCCTCACCGATGGATCAAATAAGACAACAGCTTTGATAAGTGTGCTCGTTAGGAAGCACCCTGCGGGGGTGGCATGAAGGATAACTTAATGGGGAACACGTTGAAGATACAAAATAGACCGCGGCAGAAAGCAAGCTCGTTAACGTCGATCGCTTCATGTTTCAGAAACAGCGTAATTGGTCAATTACCTGTCAAAACTTCCTTGAGTTTTAAAAATTACTCATTAGTTCTTCATAATCTCAATGTATGAGATTTGAGGAATTTTTTTTGTTTACTACAATATAGTAAAACAGTATAATGCACATATTATATGAAGCATCACATAATTATTATGTTTAGTAATGGCAATAATTAAACGTCTCTTAATGTCTCTTATTGGTAGAAAACAATTCATTGATTCAAGAGAAAAAACAATCTTATGAATAAATTAAGTATTGTATAACATTAAACTATTACTACGTCGATTATGAGAAATAATCGAAGAATAACTTATGATAATACGCAATAATTTTTATTGTAAATTTCTATGTGTATGTAATTGTAGTCTTACTTTTAGAGAATGAACCGTCAAAAATTTTTCACTTTCAAAATTACTCTTGAGAGGGATTCTCGAGAGTTTCTGAAAGTTACTCCCAATAGCTTCGTCATTCATCTTTTAAGCGCCTTATTTAGTTAATTGCATTATCACGCTGTCTAAACAAGATGATATTTAAAAATAGATCTTATACCATGATCGTTCTGAACTGTCCACCGTTTTCAATCTCAAAGCATCCGAATGCAAGTACTTCGGATTAAAGCCTGGCCCCAAGATGGTGGATCTGCGGACGATAGGCGCGGCCGGACGATGCTGTTGGTCCGAATGCGACCAATCAGGATCGGACGAAAGTCGGTGCGACGATGCCACGCCATCCCCCACATCGGAACACGGCGCATGCCGAGAAATCACGAATTAAAATACCTCACTCTATACCCTCGGCAGTCGCCCGTCGACCCGTGCGTCATACGGTCGCCTCCCGATACCTTTATAGTGCAGTGTATAGTCCGGTGATTTTCGTCATCGTCATCAACATGGTGTAAAAATGTTCATAATTGAGGTTATCAAGTTGATGAAAAGGAAAAACTTTTTTTGAAAAGGAAAGACGAAAGTGAACATAAACAATTCCAAAAGTTCTCATCGAGTGTAATTACAAATTTATATTTATTTTCTGCAAACGCTCTTGATGACTGGAACTTGCCGGATTCTCTGCATGATTATTCTCTACATTGATCTTTATGTCATAATCAATGACGGTACAACGTTTAGCATGAGAATTTAACAAGTGCCCGAAGGAGTTTCATATTACATTATTGCCCCAGACATATTTAATTATTTATGACTGTGTCAGCTTTATTTAACGCCGTCATAATACGTGGAAGAAGCTCACATATTTCAGTGATCAAATACAATTTTTCACATGACACAGATCTTATCTATATTCCCTGATATTATAATTTTAACGGGGACCTGTGCTATAATTATAATAACTACTAATTTTTCTGCAAATCAAGAAATTCAAAGAATTAATAGTAACGAAGTATAATAATAATAATCTAAACTAAATAAGCTTTCTTAAATTTGTTCGATCTTATTTAAAAAATTGTAACCAGTGCCAAAGTACTGATTTATGTGTCAAATATGCAGGTTTGCATATCGAAAACTATAGTGACTCCTAGTACTATGAAGTTATCGTGAAATATAAAAGAATTACCTTAAACGCGCTGACTGCCATACCGAATTAAAAGACTAAAATTTAATAGTGTGATAATAGATTAATAATAATTTTTACGTATTATATTTCAATATCGTGTAAAAGAAGAAATCGAATAAAAACGATTGCTAAACAGATAGCAACAATTATTTAAAGTATTAAAGCTCATTATAAAATGTGCCATAACTGTTGTAATGCAAAACATAATACTGCGCAAAGCGAAATAAAGCAAAGTACTATAAAACAATCGTAAATATATATAAAGCACCTCAACCGATTGACAACCTTAAACTAATGTTACAATTTGATTCAACGTTGACAATTATAAGAATAAAGACACTCTGACACTTCTTATTTTTATCTAGTACATCACAACAATTAAATCGGTAATTTACTTTCTTCAAGTACTGCCGCAATAAGAAATTCTGCAAAAGACAAAGACACAGCATATTATTAATTCTTAATCTAACAACACTTCAGACTGCATGAGAGATAGCAATTATTGTACATGAAAAAGAAAGATGTTCCACACGTAGTATTGGATTGAGATCGATCCCGTTCGATTTGGACGCTGGTCCATCAAGTTCAAGGAATCATGGACATGAGCGTAGAGGAAACCGAGCTTGACGTCGGCTCGGCGAGCGACGAGTTGGAGTCGTCGGCCGCGGAGCCGAAGCTCGCGCGACGTCCGACACCGCGACCTTTCACGATCGAGAGTTTGATCGGTAGCGCGCGTGAAGATCACGATACTGGCGGTGGCGGTGGCATAATGCGAGACGATCGGACAAACGGCAGCGAAGAGGAAGAGCACCGAGATCGGGAATACCAGCTTTATCAGAGGCACTACCTGGCGACCGCGGCGGCAAGCACGCTACCCTCAGGTGAGAACGTTCTTCCAGCTCGATATATACAATTGAGTAAGCGACACTAATAAAAGCAGTATAAATTAAAAATAATTTCGAAAAAACTATATGTTCTTTTTAATTAAAATTTCATTTCCTCCAAAACATTTTTGAATTTGGTTTAGAATCTTATGTTTTTGATTAATTCAGAATTTTGCGGCAAAACACATTTTTATTATAAATGTATTATAAATATATCATCGAAATTATATATAAAGGCGTAAAAGAGCAACGTGCTGGGAGGGAAACTTTTATATGAACGCCAGATTTTAAAAATAAAATATTTTTTATTTTCATTATGGCTTTCACTGCAGTGCTGAAAATCTGTAGTGCACGTAACGTTGACAGTGAATTTTGCAACACAGTCTATGAATTACTTGAAACATTTTAATTATTACCTTTTAAGAAATTAAATTAAAAATTTATATAATTATGTTAAATTATTTTATAACTTTGGATGAGAAAGATGCGGATGTAAGTAAAAACTTAGCGTCGCGACGCGACGGCGGCTTAAAATACGATGGCTACAAATACATAAAAATGTCGCCAATCGATAACTGCAGTGAACAGACGTTACATCTACACGTTTGCCGTATTTCTAGTATCTGAAGTTCATTCAGCATTTTCTCTAATCTAGAGACATGTGAAGTCAATAAAAAATATAAAATTACGACAAATGTATTACTACAAATACACTCATGAACAAAATTATCGCAACATAAATTTATACATAATTTTACATAATTTCAAGTAACCGTAATTTCGTAAAAAATGGTCGTATTTGAAAATTTTTTTTTCATCCTCAAGAGTAAAGTTTGTATCTTAGAAGCTTTCAATAAATTTTAAATTCATCCTTTTATTTCCGTTAATTATCTTTTCTAAAGTAAGAGGACGTCTCCAAAAAGTTGCATACTTTGATGTAGGATACAATCAATTTTTTTCGCAAATATCGGTGATAGTCGCCACAAAGTATGTACTTTCTCTTACAAATAAAAAAAATAAAGCTTTTCACGATTCTTTATTGCGAAGATACGACGATCTCCTAATATAAAGTTACTCATGCATTTTTGTTCAATTACTTCCAACATTGGCATCAATCAATGCCCATCAAGAAGAAGCTAGTTGCTACTCAGATTTTGCACATTATATACGTATATGTGTATGTATGTATGTGTGGGTATGTGTGTGTGCATGTATGTTGGAATTGATGAGTGGATATACTTCAAAATCTCGTCTTTGAATGATTTTTTTCAAACGCTCATGTTTGAAATGTTGATGCAAGCTCTAATGACCTGAAAAATTTTTTATCATATTCAATTCAAACAATGCAATGTTTTGGAGACATAATACGTCCTTACTTTAGAAAAGATAATGAGCGGAAATAAGGACGAATTAAAAATTTATTGAAAGCTTCTAAAAGTAAAAATTTTACCTTTGAGAATGAAAAAACTTTTAAATATAACCATTTTTCTCACGAAATGTACTTACTTTGAAGTTATGCAAAATTTTGATATAAATTTATGTTGCCATAACTTTGTTAACGAGTGCATTATAAAAAATAATTTATATAGAATAAGCAAATGATTTTTTATTGAAATAATTCTTTGAAATAAATCGTGGAGTTCTTCATAAAATTAAAGTTTTTGTTAATCTATAGAGCTATTATTTAAACAACACTTTTACATCGTTACTTAATCCTTCACATGCAAATTTCCGATTGATTGATAAATAAAAAATAAACTTTTCAAATTTTTAAATTTAACATCTGCTTTATTAATATCTGCTTATATATTAAATTCATAGCTACTTTAAGACTCTCACTTAATAAAAAAAATTCCTTATTTCTAACATACAAATGTTAGAAATTAAATGATGCTTTTATTAAATTAGATTAAAAAATGATCTCTCATACAACTTAGTTCTCCGAGGAACATCCTTATGATATTTCTAATCTTGTAATTTCTCTCTTTACGTGTGCTCTTATTTCGCATTAAATAATTTCATGAATATCATCTTCCGTCGGGAGAATTATGGCGCGCATTAATCCGACGGCTCATTGATAACTGACTCTATAATACTGACTATGTGTCATATATGTACATAAAAAATGTAGGGTAATTATATTAAAACAGTTACAATATTACATATGAACCAAATGAAATAATGAATATATTAAAAATTACATTTTTTAACATAACACTGGATATATAAAGTTGTCTATTATGCTTCTAATATGAGATAGCGAGGTTTCTGCTAAACTATAAATAAGCGTATGTGGATTCTATCATGAACTTATCATTCTTAGTGTGAAATATATTTAGTAGAAAATTCATTATTAGATCATCTATGTAAATAAGCGTATGTGGATTCTATCATGAACTTATCATTCTTAGTGTGAAATATATTTAGTAGAAAATTCATTATTAGATCATCTATGTAGTTGTTGCAAAAAAGCAATGATGCTGCGTATACAGATGATGATAACGATGATACAATTTATATATTTTGTAATGGTTTGTATTTAAATTTTAAATTCAGTGAAAATTGAATTTAGCCGAGGCTATTGACTCTAGTTCTATATTGATTACGCTTAGATCGACCGTCGGTCGAAAACTTATTTATTTATGCTTGTAGAAAATATTTCAGTATAATATACTTCAATATAAAATGTTTATAAAAAATAATACTTTAAAATAATATTTTAATATTATTTAAAAAGATTTATATTTATTCAAAAATAAATGCAAGTAGCACACAATAGTTATAAAACATTAACAAAGCGCTAAAAAAGCGTATACCGCTTTGCAAGCGCTGCTGTGCTACTTGGGAATGTTTTTTTTATCTTAATTAACATTGTTTTTACATATAATATATGCGACATTTTTTTATATTATTCTTGACAAAACACACTTGCTCAAGAGTATGCATTTTTACCTTCTTAAAAAAAGTAATCTTCTGTAAAAATGAGTGTTTATATCAAATTGATACTTGACAAATTTTTAATTTAAACTATAAGAAATAACTTAAGCAGCATTTTACTGGCTCAACTGTGATTAATTAATTCTTATATCTTACAATTACTGTTACGGACCTCCTTATGTAAGAAAAACTATATGTACATATTAGGAATGCTTTTTTTTAAATTAGCAAAATTGGCAATTTTGAAAAAACTATCATATAAAACAAAGTATAATTGAAATATAACTGCGTATGTAGAGGATTGCTGTAAGATATTATAACACGATTATTGTGAAACGTTATTCTACTAGTCAAAGGCGCCATAGTGTCTAATCAATGCTCCAAAATATGAAAAGATACCAGGTGCTAGCGACGTTTCGCAGACTATAATTTATAATCTCGGATATGTACATAATTCAAACCTTTGGAACTTATCGTTTTTTTTATGTATCTTATAATCATTTTACGTACTATGATGCAGTAAAATACAGTTAGTTTCAAGTTTTGTCGTTACACATTAATTTATAGTCGTATTGTTGCATGCAATTGACGCGTTCCCAGATTTCGTCAACACAAGTGAAAATTGATTTACGTTATAAATTTAGCAAAGAAGAATAAACATATGTGTGTAGCTCATAAATTTAAAATTTAAATAATAAGAAGAAAATTATAATATAATAACGATGAACGAGAATGGATTAATATCGAAAATACGTGCTCTTAAAAAATAGCAAGTAGATGCAAAAATAAATGTTTAGCTATAAAGAAACACTACATAGAATGATTGAATAAATAGAAATGAAATGTAAAATTCAATTTGCCTTGCGATCCCATTCGCTTATCAATTATTATTACTTTATTACAGTTAGATACTATTGATAACGGACGGATTTCTGATTAGTTAGATCGTCTGTATATTTTAAAATTAAATAAATAATATGGTATTATATCTAAAAGCATTCTATGTATACTAAAATCTAGGTCGATTGTTTTTACATAATTTTGTGACGTAACTCTGAAATTTATCATTATCTAATTAATTGTCTATATTTGCCGACTGTTTATCTATCAATTAAAGAAAAGACCTCTATTATGAGATACCGAGTTTATTTTAGGTAAATGCTAGAAGTCTATAGGCAGAATTTAAAAAAAATAATAGATCATTTTGAAGGGAATTTAATAAGCTATAAGATAATGTTATATAAAATTTAGTTCAAATTTCATTTTTTTTTAAATTAAAGAAATGTAAAAAATGAGCAAATCGCAAAGTCAAAAAATTGTGCTCCTAATATGAGATGCTTCGAGAAATCGATAGTAAAATGAGAAAGTATGTCAGTATTGCAATAAAAAACTTTATTTAATGTTTCTAAAATACAAACAAACACAGCCAGCGTGCGCAAAAAATGAGTATGCAATAGATTATACCCAGAACTCATCTTCAGGTAGGTCGAATCAAGCATCGCAGAAATAGGCACTCGACGTCCATTCCGGTTGTTCTTTTTATTATTATACAATAACATTTATACTTTAGCAACGATTTTCTGTACTATAACATAGGAGCATGGATTATTTCATATTAAAAATACCCTGGGCATCTCATATTACGATTTCCACATATTATGGTTTTACGATCATCAAATCTAATTTCTGTAACTAAACAATTCAACATATCCCATATTTTTCTATTAGTACGACCTTACTCTATCACTACATGAAGAATTTATTGCCAAATATTTATTTATTAAATAATAAACAAGATTTAAAGCCTCATCTCAATGAAACTTGACATCCAAATTCTAAAATCTTGTTTTACAATGACTACTCGCATGATGTAATAATGAATTTTTTACTAAATAGTTTTCAATCCAAGAGCAATAAATTTATGGTGGAACCAGTAGATAGCGTTTATTAGTTTAGCAGAAACGCCACTATCTCATATTAGGCGCCTATCTCATAATAGGGGGCTTTCCTCTATAAATTGTCCGTGCAGGTTTCGGCGTGCCACTCGGATTATACAGTGCTTGGCTACCAATGCGGATGTACGGTGGCAGCGGTGCATCCGGCGTCCCAATGTTGCCGCCACAGCATCCGTCCACCGGCTACCCAGCTCACCCGGAACTGCATCAGAATCGACTGTCGCAGCCCTCCGTACCGCCATCCAGTCATCCACAGGGATATTATGCACTGGATGGTTGCCGTCGTGTCACGAATCAGCGTGCACCGAGTAGCTTCACCGACAGCGAAGACGAGGACGGCAGCGTTGGTTCACCGGCATCACCGGCTCACGATCTTTCTAAATCTCGACACGGTGAGTTTAACATCTACTTACACTTTCTTTAAGGCAATATTTAAAAAACTGTATAATCACAAAAAAATGAAAAGTTTCTGAGGAAACACAGTCAAGTTGACATTTTAGCGACTAGTTTGAACGTTTTATATAATTATTTTAATGGTCTAACAAAATTATTTTTAGATCAACATTTATAGCTAAATTTTTATATATTTCAATAAAATTATTCTTTCTGTTCTTTGATGTTTTGGATAATTGCGCGCAGGAGAAATAAATAATAGCCGAATATTTTTACGGATTATCACAATGTTGTCAGGATTAACTTGTACATGGTTTTTTTTCAGTAAAAAAATTAATTTGCATATTCAATCTTTTTTAAAATAATCATTCAAATATATATTAATGTAAAATTTAAAAAATTTAAAAGTTGAACAAAATATTATTAAAAAGATATATTATATCGTTGTCTTTAAAAATTAAATTTAAAAGTGTAAAGATATATGTATGTGTATATGTATGGGAAATAACGGATGTTTATAATGTATAACTTTTCACAAATTAGTAAGATGACTATTGTATATCAAGTGTTTACAAGTGTTTATATAAATGGAAAAAATGCTTTTTATTTTCTGAGAGCATGTACGAATATTTTATCTTGAGTGATAATAACTACACGTGTTGTAATTTTAAATCTGTCGATATTTAAAATTAAAATTTAAAACAGAAATTGATCAATAAATAGATTCTTTAATTTTAGTTTGATTTGTAATCTAAACCGACCTTAGTCGATTGATTGCTAATGCATAATAGATAAATTCATCCTGTGCTTGTAGCAATATATCTTCACAGCTTTAGGTATTTCATGAAGAAATTATTAGGCCACACACACAATAAGAGATTATACAATAATTAACATTGAGTCATGCAAAAATAGATGTTGCTAAATCAGTAGTCTTTAAAGAAGAGATATGATCCAATCGCTAAGAGGGAGAAATCGATAGATCCGAATACCGAACGTTTACGAATTCAGATGGCGTGTCTTCGGTCACGATCGCAGTCGCCACGATCGACCGCAAAGGATCGAGATACACGGTAGCATGCATAAATTATTGCGCTCCTGTGGCCTGATCTCATCTTGTATGTGTGTAAGTACGTATAAATGGACAATACGCGTGGTATCTCAGAGTACATATATTCTAACCGAATTTCTAATGTGTCAAGAAAACAAATCTATCTTTGTATACATATTCAATTATCCATTATAGACAATCCGATATTCATAATTCATTCTTATTTTAAGATCGTTTTAAGTAATATCTTGATGTCTAAAAACTCTAATACTATTCTATTATTGGTTTGTGACATTTTGCAACAAGATTGCACTTAAGATAGTCTTATCAAGACAAACTATGAATTATACCAACTATAATTTTATTTTATTACAATTTTCATGTTCAGTAAACTAAAAACAGTGCCACAGGTTAGGATAGTAAACAGAAAATGTATTTTTTTATAGATTAACATAAGACAGAAGGATACGTAAGTGATAATAACATAAAATAATTAGAGTGCCCACAGCTTTTATTAAAAAAAAAAAACGATACTCTCAAAAGAGACAAGAAATTTAATTTTTTCAAAGACTGACGATATTTCACGGAAGGCTCTAAATGCGTCGCCGTTTGACCACCGAAAGCTAAAGGATATCTACATGACCGCCGATCGCCAATCACGTATTTCCGTGGGGACAATTCCGATGGTGTACAGACGCGCGCATTTATTCGTGGCCGGACACACTTTTTATTGATGTACCGCCGCCCGGCGGCGATTTCGTATGCGAGACGAAATGGCTTCGGGGAATCTGTCATCGGTCATTTATGACGCACCGTGCCGAACCGGTGCGTCGATCGTCACGACGTGGTGAGGCGCGATCGCGACGTTCCACGAATTCGTCGCGATCCACCTACGTGCGAGCATTACGTCCTCGCGTAATACATAGATTACCGATCCTGATCTTGTCGACAAAAATCAGGGAAATGAAAAAAGATTCGACAAAAGAGTTTGAAGATATGCAGTCTAAAATGTCGACTTTGATTTGATTTACACTTCAGCGATGCCGAAAGCGAGTCACGAATTTACAGAATCTCGAGTCTATAGTTGAGCAGTCAATGTAGATGCAAAAATTGTTTGCGCCAAAAATATAAATTTCTCCAATTTCTAATTCTTCCTCAAAAATAGAAATCTTTAAGCTCTTAGAATTGATAAAGCACAAATTGTCAAATTTAATTATATTAAATAAATAGAAAGTGCTAAAACATCTGGCTAGATACAGATCTAAAAATAATTTTGTTGAATCATCAAAATAATTATTTAAAACGTGATGACAATACTGCAAAAGTTTTAGCATTTTAGCAATCAATTTAAACGACATAATTATTTTGATGGTCCAACAAAATTATTTTCAGATCTGTACCTAGTTAAATTTTTAGATACTCCAAAATCGTTCTTTTCAAAAATCATAAATTCTAATATAAAAATTTTTGAATTTTGTTTTAAACAATAAATAATAGAAGTATTTTTAAAATAAAGAATTAAATTATGCAAAATTAAATACTGTACTTTAAAAAATGAAGTTCTGGAACACCCAAGAATTTTAACATTTTAATGAATTATATTATGTATTATGTATTTAATCGCATTCAAGTTTCGAAATATAAAGCACTTTACTAATTTATCTTTCTTTAATGTATTTATATTAGTTTGGAAGTAATTATGTATAATTTATGAATTTATAATTGCAATATTTGAAATCAAATAATTACTTAACTCAAAATAATCTTACATCGACTGTTAAACTGTTAGATGATTTGTTGTAGATAATCGATGTATATAAGAAACTAAATAACAGAGTTAAATTTTATTTAACGCAATCAACTACACATGGTGCTATTTTTGAATGGGATCGGTTTTATTCTTGATCACCGTTGAATTTTTATACAAGCACGAACGAGCAGTTATTTTAATGCGATCGTCGATCGAGACGATGTGTCATAAATACACAACGCCGTAGCTTAGATCTTATCGATTGCTGAAGCTATTATCCAATGACGAAAAGTTAAAAATAATTTTTGCAATGTCTGGAATTTTCGAAATTTTTGATTATACAATTTTTGCAACTAAAGACTAAAAAGATTTTATATTGAAATCTTTTATTTATGCGAATAACATGTTAGAAAGTAATGTATTTTATATAAATAATTTTGTGTTCTTTTTAATGCAATTACAAAATATATTTTCAAATATATTAAAATTTAAGTTTCATAATTAAAAAACATTTAATATTCTTTTTTAATAAAGAAGCTATACTCGTGTTTCACAAATCTGTATGCAGATAAATAATTTATTTAGAAAGTAGATTAAACTTTTAAGATACATACTTAATTCTTAGAATTAGAAATGCGCCATTTTGCACTTTCTTACGGAGAAGAACGAAAATACCAAATCCACGAACATCGTATAGATATTGAAGATTAAATTAGTAGCAGATAAGTACTTTGAAACGAGAACGACTCTCGCGATATTCAACAGCGAATTATTAATCAATGGCCCAGATGTGACACGACAGAAAGTGTGTTAACGGCGTTTTCATCATGAGAACTCGAAACCTGGCTACATGAATTGGATATGTGGAAGTCTCGAACGAAGCTTTTGAGTGCCTATGCAAAATTCAGAGTTCCATTCACGGCGACGCAGAACGATTCGATTCGCCGTCGCTTCAGGTAATCAAATGATCGTTCATAAAATCTTGTTCGTTTCGAAATCGAATAACGAGTTCACCGATAGATAAAATAATATTTTGAAACGATGAATTAAATTGTGTCACAACAGCTAATTGTAAATGATATTTATAGTAAACAAAATAAAATTATTTTTATATGTCAACCATTTACAAAAATAAAATATTTTTTAAATTATTGTTAAAAATTAACTAACAATCTATCTATTATTTTTTATTTCTGTGTAGTAGCAAAATTATATACTCATTGCGATTCTAATATTCCGATAATTTTTGGCTTTATTTTAATTTATGAGATGGTTGCTTTTGCCTACAAATCGATTGCCTATAATATCGTTTGCCTACATTACTTTTGCCGATAGTTCGTTTGCACACAAAAATTATTGCCTACAGCTTGATTGCTACATGCATTTTTGCACACAAATAAAAATTTTAGAAACGGAGTTACTTTTATCTATTATTGTCACGTATTATTGCCTACAAGTACAATATTATTGCCTACAGTAGGCAATCGATTTGTAGACAACGGAATCTCCCCTTAATTTATTACAACAGAGGCTGTTGTAATAAATTAATATTAACTTCTGTGATTTATCTAAAAAGATCCACAATTTAATTATATTAAATTAAATTAAAACTAATGCGGAACAGTCATAACTTATTTCAAGATTTGCATGTAAATACACGAAATATAATACTGTAATATTATTTCATTGACAGAAATAACTTTGTATTATTAATTTCTACCTACAGCACAAATGAACAAATTATGTTGTAATTAGTGTAATCGTTTATTTCCGCATTGTACTCGAATCTAATTCGATGATGTTCAAAAGACATACAGGAAGATAATCATCGAATGCCACTTGAATTTTAATCGCACTCACCGATTCTGCGGCGGGAAGCCGATTAACGTATCAAGCGTCAGACAAGCAGAAGGATCATATTTCGATTTGGCGACTTACGAGACGAAAGGATCTTTTAGAACGCGTCATTCGTCATTCATAGCCAGGACGACGACCGAGATGAAGGCGATTACATGAAGGACGGGGCTCCTCGAGCCAAGAACACGTAACAAAATGATAGTCGCATCGCTGTGAATGGAAACCGTCAATTCTCAAGAACCGTTGCGACGCCGACGTTGAGCGTCGTGCGATATTCATAATGTGCCAGCTCTGCAGAATTAACGATACCGGTATATAACCTGTGCCTATAACTACCTAGA